GGTTTATGGTACACTGAGATTGTTATGACTATAGCTGACTCGATATGTTCGATTAACAGCCTGTGCGATGGTGCTCTCTGATATGATTTATTAATAAATAGGGCGTCGTGGATCACACTTTTCGCAATACTTTGCTAGGACATGCGGCTTGAAACACGTTAGTGAGGTTTAATGGTCTCGAACGGAGTCCATGAGTGCCACCCGCAATCCGCATCAGGCCGACTTAGACATCCAGTTTGGCTGGTAGACTGTTCTAATTTTCAACTATGTAACGTGTCCTAGTGATATTTAGAATACACAGCAAGCCCCGATATAGTGCTTCAGGTGCGTGGGTGTTTTACGGGGCAAGGTAGCCTACAGAAGAAATTAAGATTTGTACGCTATTTGTTAGCTATGACATATGCACGCTTTAGTCCGCTTGAACGGGAACTTTTGCCTAAATGAAATGACATGATGGAGAGTATTAGTGGTTCCGTGAAACGTGGAGAACACCTCACAAATAAGCATTGCCGAGGCTTCTTTCGCGACCCACACACGTGTTCACATGCTTCCATGCGTACAACAAAATGTTAAGCATAGTGATTCTTAAGCGTAGAACCTGATTCACCGCATGAGCTATACGCTGCTGCGATGTATTTTACACAAAATATTATGCGGTGCTCAGGCCTGCGTGTGAAATAGCGTTTTGTGAATGCCTGCTTTTTGTCAGCAACGTAAAGGGAGCGAGAGTAAAATCTCTTTTGGAATTACAGTCGGTTGTTCATCCCAGCTGGAACACCCACTGGCCCAGGCGGCACCCCAAGCAGGGAATACGAAAGTCGGCTCCCTAAGCAGGGAAGTTGGTTTCCCAGTGCCAGCTCGGAAAGCCATGGCCACAAAATGTTGAAAAAAAGCTTACTTTGTTTTCGACATTCCATCTTGTTTGTCTCCCAGCAGCCTAGTAGCAAACCTCACTTTTCCGTTGCCGCAGAATTTATCTTGTATGTTCTTGAGAAAAACTTGTATGAACGAGTAAATACACCTACCCTCTCTGTAATTTAAGTTGATCTAGTTCAATAGAGGTTTGTGTTGGGTTGTTTTTTTTTTTCCAACAGACGTTTATAAGTTTGCATGCGAGCAGCAGGTTCATGGTACACTGAGATAGTTAAGACTACAGCTGACTCGATATCTTCGATTAACAGCATGTGCGACGGTGCTCTCTGATCTGATTTATTATTAAAAAATCTGTTAGACCTTACGCAACGTTACGTCTACGCACCATACAAAAAACTTGCAGAGCTAGATCGTTGAAAAGAAAATCGAAGAGCTCTTTGATTGCGCACAATGAACAAGCAATGATACTATTACCAACAGGCTCATTTTATTTTTTCGATTAAGAGGCTTTTTTCAAGGCTGGTATATGAAAACGCTACTGCAGGTGTTTATTTATCCGTTGTAAGGGATACACAGACATAAAAGGAAGACAAACTTCTCCAGTTTCCGGGCTTCTTGACGAAAAGGATCGGCTTTACAGAACAAATGTCCGCACTTTTTTTTCCCGACTACAGATGTCCCACCAGCCCCGTCAAACGGCTTCGCAAAGCTCACACACCTAATTGGTCGCACGTATAATGCGGCGAGATACAATCCCGGTTGAAAGTTTGGCGTGATGCTTCTTGTACAAACTGCCACGTATAAGAGACATTCTGACCGGGGTTCCTTCACAGTGGCGCGTAGTTTAACACGCATCATTTCATTTTTGTGTGGCCCCTCTTTCGTCTTCGATTGTCATATGGTTAGAACGCACGCACGTCTAACCATCAACATTTCTTCTTCATTTTCATTTTCACAGGCAGTTGGTGAGAGAAAATGAAGACTCGTTTCAAGAGGACAAAATCCGGAACTTTGCCGACGCGTTCATCTTCGAGATGAAGAATCGACAAGAAGGATGTCAGCATTTCACACGTGAGTGTTGAATTGCGCTGCAGATATCTGCCTGCCTAGAAAGAACAATAGATGAATACTGTTAGCGTATTTGGTAAACAATAAAGAACTATTTATCATTTACGTTACCTACCCTCGCATGAGTGAACCATGCAGCAAACGTGACCTATTTTTCTGTCGATCCAGTTTTGTCAATGTTGCACCCAGCCTTAATTTGCCCGCGCATACTATTCTGAGTAAATTGCAATCAAACAAACATATCAAGCAATAAAACTAATTCATAAGCTCAATAAAGAAAATTAATAATGCTTAAATACTGGCAGCCCAAACTAACGAAACGCAAAAGGCTGTGCTACAAGTACCTCACTCTGAATCCATACCAACTAAGCTACTTTTCAACGTTTGAAAAAAAAAAGCGATGCTGGAGAAACTGTTGCAGGAACACCGAACTGTGAAACAGCAGCGACCGATATACTATATCTACACGCTCTAATCTCCCAAAAGGTGTAGTGGTCATGATGGTTAACGTAATTTAAAAAAATAACTTTCGTACGTTCTGCAAGGAAATGCATGGGATCAGTAACATATTAAATTCAGAATTCGAGAAAAGAGTGCCACAAAGTGCATGCTGACAAAAAATTACGCAGTTCTACTATATAGACCAAGAGCACACAAAGGAGATAACGCACTCGTGAAAAAGCTTATGTTGCAATGTTAATGAATAATGACATTGCTTCGTTTGCTTCATTCTGTGTGTAAGAGATAAGTAAAACGAAGGGCGCTGACCATCAGCATCTGTCTTAGGTGCTCGGCCGTTCAGTTCCTTCGACACTAGGGAATGAAACATTGGCATCAGGCTCGCATTAGCGTCTTTCCCCGCGTTCAGCTTGTATGACCCGAAACCATGGGCGAACATTCGCTGCGATTGCAGGGAAAGCTTTACGAAGAACTTTACTCAGGTGCGAAGTTCCTTGTGAACTCCTGTAGCATTAGGTGGCGTGCAACATATGCGTGATGAAAAGGTACACAGTAAACTGCTGAACAGTATTTAAAGCTGTGATTTTGCTGATTTCTAGTCGCATATGTGGTTATCTTTATCGGGTAACAGAACAGTGGCTTGAAGTGGCCGCAGGAGTTGGCTAGTCCGGTAGATAATGAAATTCTTAATTATGATGTGTGCATGGTTGATGAGAGGTTGGCAATGAAGGCACTCTAAGTTTAAATCTAGATAAATTAGGAATTCAGACGTTGCCTTTCAAATGTAGTTGGTCTTCTCATAACGTCTGTTTAGGTACATGTTGCCAATCTCGTGCGTTCCGAAGGAAAGTTAACAAGCAGTTTCATTTTTATTATATCCTAAGGTACTTGATAAATACACTGGTAGTAACTTACTTATAGCATACATTGCCTGGCATTCTTTAGTAATCTATTCAAATGCGGTTTTGGAACGACATGAAGTTGACAAGAAACGTTGACTGAAAACACATTCACGATGTTTTTGATGTAGATATTTCCGCCTATTAATACATTGGTCAGCCTATCTGACGCCCTGCAATTGCGTTCATGCAAGCTGTTTTAGTTCCTAATCAGTTGATGAATTATGCTGTAACAATCACACTCACAGCTCCGTTCGAGTGCTGCCCCATTCTCCGGATATGTTTAATGTTTGCACAGCTTACTGCATTTTATAGACCACAGTGACCATTCTCAGTAAACAGCTGCCCTTTCAATTTCAGGCTGAGAGTAGAGTGAAATGAACGACGAGGTTAACGGTGCGCCAGTCGTTGCCGCGCACTTTGCACCTGTGCTCAGTGGCTGTCAGTGGGGACGTAACCAAATCATTGGTCACTGTGACGGCCACACCAACATCTGAATAGAGGTATATGTACTGTTTTTCGAAAGGCACATCGCAGTGAAGAATCTTGACAATAAGCCCGTGTGCTCAGATTTGGGTGCACGTTAAAGAACCCCAGGTGGTCTAAATTTCCGGAGCCCTCCACTACGGCGTCTCTCATAATGATAATCATATAGTGGTTTTGGGAGGTTAAACCCCACATATCAATCAATCAATCTTGACAATAACATCATGACTATAACATAGTATAATGGCAAATGTGGCATAATGGCAAATCCATGCTGCGAAAAGTGTGGCACAATTGAACCTGCTGAGCATGTTTTCTTTGAGCGGGAATGTTAAAATATCGAATACAATGCCGAGCATGTACCCATGATCACGCGCTCTATAACCATTGCATGTTTCGATCACTCTGAGATGTTTGTCATTCGACTTTGTTTTAGCCTGGCCACGCAAAGGACACAGAAGAATGTGTTGAAAGTCCTGTCCACAGATTTGCGAAGTATCAGTTAGCTCGACAGACTATATATGGACTATTGCAACGTGCATACACGTGATGAATATATCTCTCAGCCCATGCCTTCACACAAGCACGAAGGAAGCTGGTTTGCATCACTTTTAACCTCTTTTATTGTTTTAACACCATGTTTCTGCGTCTTTACTTTGCTGCCTTTTAATTCGCAATACCAGTCTTTACGAAGAGTAGCTAGTAAGCTATTTGCATACAATTGGTGATTTCATTAACTTTAAATCCAGTCGTCTCTCTCCCTCACCCTCGCTCTCTCCATCTCTCTCTAAATAGGCTGTTCGCATATCCCTATATTTATGCACTACATTAATGGCAATACTGATAACTCACATAAGTGTTAGTGCAGCATCCATAGGCCTTTTTACAGAGTACGCAGCAGAAAACACATGTTCGTGCCACGCTTTCGCTTCAAACTTTTGTGTGCTATTAAAAAGAGAGAGAGAATAGGGATCAAAGAAAGGCAGGTCGGTTATGCTTATGCAAAATAAACTCTATCTTATATGTTCAATGTTACTATGTGGTGGAGTTCTAACAGCGTTGAATATGTGTTTTTTTTACATTTTTCATTTGGCATACTTTGCAGGGGAACTGCTTATTGGGAACGTAGCGTCCTTTATCGGTGGTGGTGCTGGCACGATAAGCACCGCCCTTCAGTGGCTCATGCTTATGTCTGCTGCTAACTCACGTCAGCAGAACCTTGTCAGAGCCGAGACTGACACCGTTATGAAGGCGAAGGAATCCGGGTCAAGCATTACCTGGAATGATCGTCCCAGCATGCCCTACGCACAGGCGTTCATTTGGGAGACGATGCGGTGCAAACCTGTAAACCCTCTTGCCCTCATGCGATGGTGAGCACTGATCCGAATATAATATTTGAACATTCTATACGCTGTGTTAAAATGTTTCATTAAATGATAACTTGAAGGACTCACACTTTACGAAGGTCATGTTATTGATAGATCAGACACTCGGCTGTGTGTGTCCGCTCAGCGAAGTTGTCCATTCGAAAATTATATTCATAGCAGTGAGTAAGCAGCAATGAAAGGGCTTGTACTCACTGCAAAAAAGTTACTAAATACTAACAAAAAGGCTATAATAACCATACATGAAGTACATACAATGAAAACTGTATTTATCGAACCCTATGTAGAGCTGCAATGCATTCACACCGCCAGCCAACTACAGTAACTCTATGCTTGTATTACTTACACTTCAGACTTCTATAAATGACATATAAAATGTTTTATCACACTGAAGCATGAAGTCCCGAGTCAAATTCAACTGATTATTCATTCGCGACACAGTCGCAGGTTAAATTGTGGTAGCACAAATGCTGCCACTCTATGAGTGCCCATTCGAGGAGCAAGTTTTCAGCACTCCTGTCATCACTTGCCTGCAATATTTGAAAACACCAGTTGCTGGAGCGCCCACCACGATTTTCGAACTTTTTGGTATGCATGTTCATATAGCTTCGAATGAAAGGCCTCAGAATGATAGAGGAATACATGTCCAGGTAGAAGCCGTTAAACATAAATACGACGCAGCTGACGACTCCAGTTGAATTAGTGCACCATAAGGTTACGGCTAAGGTACTTTTATATCAATTGTTACTATTCTTATTTCCAGTCACGAAAATATTGAACATATATGCTGTTCTTTTACACGCAGTGCAAGCGAAGACATCAAGCTAGGCGGTTACTTTGTCCCCCGTGGCAGCGTCATCATCTCTTCGTTCTGGTCTTTATTCAACGAGCCCGGCTTTTGGAAAGACCCCGAAGTGTTCCGCCCTGAACGCTTTCTAAGCGACAGTGGCCACTCTGCGACCAAGCCAAAGTGGTTCATTCCGTTCTCTTCCGGTAATGAACCTTAAACAAACTGCAGAAAATTAATTTCACTGATGGTAGATGTACGCCGGTGTTCTTCGCCTCTATTATCACTGAATGGCTTATAGGGGCCCCGAAACACTTTTTCAGCATGATGAGAAAATGCTGCCAATTTTGAAGTCGGGGCTCCTAAGCACAGACGAACAAGACATTACAGTGCGGCACGAGTCCTCGAACTTATAATTAATTCTTAGTCAACTTGATATCGTTCGCTCTCTCTCTCTCTCTCTCTATAAAAGTGATATCACGCACCACGTTCACTGCCGCTGGCTGATTTCAGTGTGGCGAGCTGCATAGTTACTGTGAACATCGCGGGATGCCACCACGTGGCCACGCTCGCTCTTGCGACTACAATGCTATCACGCTGCGAGTTCGGAAAAAAATAAAGGAAGCCTAAAACTTCACCTTCAGGAGCTAAACGCGATAGCGATATCCTGTTCTTACAGCGTACTTCAAACACTTACTGCATAAAATTTCTTCAAACTTGTTATGCACGCACAGGAAGCAGGTGTAGTAAATGTGTGTGCCTTTTGTAGTGAGTTACCGGCTTCAAACCATGAAATCATTTGTATAACCACATGTTCGGACGTCCGATGTTATTAGGCGCTTGTACTACGCATTATTCCAGCAATGTGCCATGTTGCATAATTAAGCATATATAGATGACGCGTGTGTTTGTAAATCATGAAAGCTACTTTCAGTGCGTTTCCAAGCAGATTATGTATTTTCACTGTACTCACAAGCATAGGCGTGGCCATGTGAAAAAGCAACCTTGGCCACGTAGAGGATCCTGGTTCAATCCCCACTCAAACCAAAATGACCCTGATTGAATCCCCACTCTGAATTTTCTATCATTGTTTTATTTCTATCGTTCTCGATTTTTCTGTTACGCACAAAATGATGATCTCCCACTCACAACCAATGTCGCCGACGCCTTATATTTCCTCGAAAAGAGCTTTTTAACGCCCTCACTTTGAAAAATGAAAAGAAAGTTCACAAGTCATAACGTGCGGATATCTTTGGCCGGTGGTCACCCACTTCCTGCATGGCTTTCAGTGCGTTCGCTGGTACCAAAAGATAGATAAAGTACTTAAACCGCACGGCTAGTTGCTCTAACTCTGCTCGTGCTTCGTGGTTTCTAAAAAGTTTTTGCGGTTGTCTATTCGTGAGACAAGCTGTTTTAATGACGTCATTAGATGATTGCTTGGAAAAGTGTCGAACGTTTCTTTCAAGTTTCAGCCATGTTAACATTTGATAGAATATATGAATGCGCTATTAGTGTGCCTAATGCGAGCGATGTTGGCTAGAGAAAAGATGCTAAAGTATTTGTCGCAAGCTTTTTTTTTTCTGTGAGTAAGTCAGTTAGCGCCACAAAGTAAAGAAGGAATTTTTCTCTTGGCTTTATGCACTTGCAGCCTGCTATATTAAATAGGTTCAATCAACATCATCCATCATTCTCACTCATCACCAGTTTTTTTTGTATGATGCTGCCCAATCTGTTACTGGATGCAGGATGATTTCTCCAGGGTAGAAAGCCAAAAGCTATTGTTCCGGCGGACCTCCCTGCCTTTGCATTACTTTATTATCTGTATTTCTTTATCCACAGCTGCTGCATTTCAGGGAGGAGCACATGTGAGAAGACTGATTTACTCTGATGTAAATGCGCGTTAAGTAATGCCAGCTTAATAATTATTAATGCGGATCCTCCTTGTTTTGGTCCTTACAAACCACATAGTTATTTCTTGCTTACCTAGATCGGCTGCCTCACACGCTCTTACACAAATATGGTGTGAAGTATTTTGCACGTTTTCAGGCGTAGCGAAACAGCGCTGTTCTAATTTTTGTACAGGGAAGCGCTCCTGTCCTGCTGAATCTGTCGCCAGCATGGTGGTGTTCGTCTACTTCACGAACATTGTTCATCATTTCATTATTGAAGCTTCCACTAGTGGTGTCCACCCGGACGACGAATTTCTCGGCATAGCGCTGCGGCCCAAGCCGCAGCAACTGGTCTTCAGACCTCGGAAACACCGCGGATGACAGAAGATGTGATGACGATAACGAGCAATCAGTTGGCAAGAGTACGGTCGTATACAACATGTCCAGGAGTTCATTACCCACAGCAAACATATAGCGTCGCGAAATTTATTCTCTCAGCGCTGACATCAACTTTGACAACTGCTTGAGGAAGTTGTCTGAATATATAAATAAATCTTGAACCAGTTCGTACTGATCGGTTCATTGACATAAAGTTACCAAAGATTACTGCACTGCTTCATGCAAAATATGAATGTAGCTCTTCTCCAGTACTCATCGGGCGGTATATAAGGCATTTAACAAAGATATGTATGGAAGCACGGTTGCACACAACTCGTTATTATTATTACTTTTTCGTACTTATTTTACTTCTCAGTTTTTCTGCGTTCTGTATTTCCTCTCTGGGAGTGTGAAGTGCAGTTACAGGCAAGCCTGTTTTTTTTTTGTTTTGATGCTGTATTACCTAACTTTTAATGTTATTCTATTGTTCATCTCAGTTTTTATTTTTATTTTGCAGTTCAGTGTGAAACAGTAGACAGTAATGTAGCCCCAGGCACATCTTTCACCATGCTCATTCGCTTGGCTTCGGCGAGGAAGAACGTACAATCCAGAATTGCTCGCTCAAGAGTTGCGGTATTGCATATTACATATGGAGCACTAGATACACTTTTCATGCTGTATTTTAATAAGCGCGGGCACACGTACACACGTGCACATGCGCGCACGTACACACGTGCACGCGCATAAGTACGTAATATTACGCAAAACCAGGCTAAGAAATAGCAAGTGCTTCCTCCTTGTTCTACGAGTCTCAATGACAGTCTCTTGCACGTAGCAACCAATCACTCAACCAATCAATTACTAACTCATATTATAAGATGATCAAGCTATATTGTAAGTATGATATGAGTGGTAAAAATAGACGACAGATCCACGAGGTGAATGATGATGAGATTGGGCGAAGCTCCTGGAAGTAATACCGTGAAATTTTCGTGGGTTAATTCGCCTGATAAAAAATACCTGGTGTCTTTCGTTAAGCAGCTGGCGTCTTCTTTTTGTTTTGCTTTAGAAACAGCTGGCGTCTTTTCGTTTTGCTTTTAGAAAACATCTTGCGTCTTTCGTTGATTTATTTCATAAATCAACGGCGTTTTGAACAAAAAGCTTTTATTGTTTAATCACGCACAGGAGAAACCTCCCAAGCACTACCTTGGAGGTAAACAATGCCTGCTACTGGGAATGAGAGACAGCAGAAGTCGGCTTTTAACACTTCTACTTCTACTAACATTTCCTACTGGAACATGCCAATGGCTGCTAATGGGGAATGAGAGACAGGAGCATTCGGCTTTTAGTTAACGCGCACGACGCGAACTTTTCATTGTTCAACAAAGCACAAAAGATCAAACACTGTTCAACAAGCACTGTTGCGATCGGCGAGATTGCCTTTGCAGCGGGCGCCGAAATGGACGAAAGGCAGCCGCCGGTTAGAAGGAATGCGAAGGCTCGGGCTGTTTTTCATGTGTTGGTAGGTGCGTGGTTGTAATTACTCCACGCAGAACTGCTGTCGCTTGTGCCGGCACGGAAATTCGGCATACTGCGCCTTTGTACACCGAGGCCGTGACTCCGAGTTTCCGCCGAAGACGGGCCTCGGAACACCACGCTGTGCGTCCCTTGCTGAGAGGTCACCGACGCTCAAGTTAACGCAGATGACCCAGCTCGTGTCATTGAAGTTGCCTGGCCTGTGACCATCCTTCGAAAGTGTGAGTGGTCAGCCCGAGCAGCGACACGACGGACTCGTTACATCGCGTTTGCTGGCAGCATGATTCCCCGGATGCGACAGCATGGCCGGAACAATACCTGTTTTTGGTTGTGTGTGGTTGTGTGTGTACGTTGGGGGTGGTGCCGGCAAAATGACCCTCAACCCCTATTGGGTGAGGACAACTTTCCCCGTTTCCCTAGGCTTGCCGTATAGGGACTGCGAACGAACAAAAAGCGGCAGGCGACTGCCTGAGTTGATTCCTGATTTGCATTCTTTTTCTGTAAACGTGTAAATAAACCTTTCGTACTCTTCATCGTCTCTTCAGTCGGGTTCCCTCCAACAGCAGCCTTTTGTGAAGGCGAGGTTTGCGACAGCCTTCCTGACGGCGAGGAGACCTGGGCGGATCTTCAATTCCTCGACTTCAATAACTGGTGGCAGTGGTGGGATCCTCAAAACTGCCAACTTCAACATAACCTGAGTGTGAGTGCATCCGCCGCGGTCCAGCACCACCTATGGTGCTCGGCTGCAAACCCGAAAGTCGTCGGCTTGATCGCGGCCACGGCGGACACATATTTAGACAGAAGCGAAATGGTAAGGTTCTGTGTACTGTGCGATGTCATTGCACGTTAAAGAGCATCACCTGGTCAAAACTTTCGGAGCCCTCTACTTCGGCGTCTCTTATATTCATGTCTTGGTTTGAGGGCGTAAAACTTTAGATAATAATATCATAAATAAAGTGTGAGGGTTTCTATTGCAACAACTCCTACTTTATTAGTTGTGCTGGGAACAAGCGGAGACCAAGGACACCTTGATCAGGTCGTCACCAAAAATACTCAATGACGCTGATGGTGTGCATTTTCTGTTGCTGTAGAAAGTGAAACAAACAATGAATGCAAGAGAGAACGAATAAAACACAACGTTATTCCAATAGAAGAGGTTGCATTGTAATTGTTTCCTCTCACTAAAATGTGCAACATACTAAGATTTAACACTATTTCTTTACACTTTCTTGAAAGAATGTGGCACAATAAATTTCGCACATGATTTGATTGATATGTGGGGTTTAACGTCCCGAAACCACCCTGTGATTATGAGAGACGTCGTAGTAGAGGACTCTGGAAATTTCGACCACGTGGGGTTCTGTAACGTGCACCGAAATCTGAGCACACGGGCCTACAACATTTCCGCTTCCATCGGGAATGCTGCCGCCGCAGCCGGGATTCGATCCCGTGACGTGAGGGTCAGCAGCCGAGTACCTTAGCCACTAGACCACCGCAGCAAGGTGGTATTAAGCTGTAAGGCCGGGCCACATGTGTTGAGTTGCCACTGCGGCCGATGTTTGACGATCTTGTTTTTGAAATTTTAACCCACCGAAATAATTTCTTAACATTAAACGGTCAATCAGCATGCCCTACTACACTAAACATTCTATTAGTTACTTTTACAAAGTTGTCGAACAGTCATCATCGTCATAAGCATGACTACGTACTTTGCAGGACAAAGGCCTCTCCGGTGTTCCTCTGCTTGCTGGTGCCTATTTACACCCATGAACTTCTTAATCTCCTCTGCCAACGTAACCTTCTGTCTTCCCCCAACCAGCTTGCCTTTTCTAAAAATCCAGTTAGTTCCCCTAATGACCAGTGGTTATCTTGTCTACGTGCTACATGCCCGGGGCATGTTCATTTCCTCTTCTTGATTTCAACTTTGATGTCCTTAACCCTGGTTTGTTTCCTACTCCACTCTGCTCCCTTCTTATCTTTTAAGGTTACACCTACAATTTTTCTTTCCGTTGCTCAGTCCGTCGTCCTCAATTCAAGCTGAACCCTCTTTGTAAGTCTCCAGGAATCTGCTCCGTAGCTAAGTCCTGGCAAGATACAGCTGTTATATACCTTCCTCTTCAGGGATAGTGGCAATCTACCTCTCATAATTTGACAGTGCTTGCCAAATGTGCTTCACCCATTTTTATTCTTCTAGTTACTTCAATCTCATGGTTCGGCTCCGCGGTTATCACCTGCCCTAAGTATACATAGTCTTTTAAAACTTGAAGTGCACTATTACCTATCTCGAAGCGCTGCTCTTTTCAGAGGTTTTTGTACATTGCTTTCGTTTTCTGCAGATTGATTTTAAGACCCACCTTTCTGCTCTTATTGTCTTACTCCGTAATCACGAGTTGCAATTCGTCCCCTGAGTTGCTCAGCAATTCAATGTCATCGGCGAAGCGCATGTCACGAAGGTACTCTCAATTAACTCTTATCCCTAACTGTTCCCATTCTAGGCCTCTGAAAACATCCTGTAAGCACGCGGTAACCACACTTGGGGAGATCGTACCCCTCTGCCTTACACCCTTCTTGGTTAGTATTCTGCTGCTTTTTTATAAATCACTATGGTAGCAGTTGATCCCCTGTAGATTTCGTCCACGGTGTTTATATATGCTGCGCCAACGCTCTGATTAAACAGTGTCTGCATCACTTCTGATACTTCTACTGAATGAAACGCTTTATTGTAATCTATGAAGGCTATGTTTAGTTGTTGGCTATATTCTGAGCATTCCTTTATTACTTGATTGATAGTATGAATGTAGTCGATTTTTAAGTAGCCTGTTCGAAATTCTGCTTGTTTCTTTGGTTGATTGAATTCTAATGCTGTGTTAATTCTGTTAGCAATTACCTTTGTAAATCGCTTTTATACTACAGGAAGCAAGCTAATCAGCCTGTAATTCTTCAAGTCCTTGTCATCTCCTTTCTTATGTATTAAGATGATGTTAGCGTTCTTCCAAGACTCTGGTACTCTTTTGGGTTACTGCTAGTTCTTATAGTATTAAAGTCGTGGTTGTCCCGGCTACTGTACAGATCTCTGTAAAACTCCTCCGCTATTTTAACTATCCTATCCTATTGGTAGTTATTTTGCCTTCTTTGTCCCTTAGTGCATACATCCGATTTTTGCCTATCCCAAGTTTCCTCTTCACTGCTTTGACGCTTCCTCCATTTTTCCGAGCGTGTTCAATACTCTCCATGTTATACCTTCTTACATCAAATACCTTACGCCTATGATTCAACTTCGAAAGCTCGGCCAGTTCTATTTTGCCTTTTGTACTCTAGACTTTCATGATTTGACGCCTGTTAATGAGATTCTTCGTTTCGTGGGTAAGCTTGCCAGTGTCCTGCCCGACTACCCTGCCTCCAACTTCCACTTCATACTCCGTAATGATACTCGTCAGATTATCATTCATTGTATCTTTACTAAGGTTGGTTTCTTCACTAAGAGCCGAGTACCTCCTCTGAAGCGAGAGACTGAATTCCTGTACTTTCCCTCTCAGTGCTAGCTCATTGATTGGCTTCTTGCGTATCAGTTTCTGTCGTTCCTTTCTCAAG